GTGTGTGTGTGTGTGTGTGTGTTTTCATATCATCCTGTGTGGCTGAGGTGCTGGCTCTGTGTCCGTTTTTCTTTTGTGTTGTAACGACCTGAAGATGGTGAGTGGGACCTTGCCGAAACGTTGCCAAGACAATCTCAATCTTACACGGGAAAAGACTCATGTACAACAAGACCAGCATACCTACACCCGTGAAAATCTATGAAAACACACACACACACACACACACAGATCTTGGCGTATTCGGGTCTTTTTCCATGTAAGATTGACAGTATCTTGGAGACGTTTCGATGAGGTCACACTCGTCATCTTCAATCTTACATGGGAAAAGACCTGAATACGCCAAGACCTGCATACCTATGCCCATGAAAATCTATGAAAACACACACACACACAAACATACCTGTTGGCTTCTTTATTAATTTCTAAATTGGTTGTTCATCCTTCACATAACAGCACACACATATATAGACACACACATATATATTTTACTTGCCTCAGTGGTACAGGTGATGATATGGGCTGACTAAGAATCAGATTATCATGGGGTGATAGCTATAAAACAATAAAAGCATGGTTTTTATATTTACCTGAAGATTTAAATCTAAAGCAATTTGTTTGTCTAGAAAACATATTGCTGTCACAGAATTAATACCGTTGCTGTAAGCTTGAAAACATGATGGTTAAATATGCAGATCTCTAATTTTTTTTAAAGTATATATATTAGCGTGAAACAGATATTATGGTTTGACTCCAGAATCTCAAGCAGCTTCAAGGGCTTCTATTTGCTTGCAAATGCTATAAAACTGCTTAAATAATTTATTACAGATGTCCTTTCCCCCCCACAAAAAAATTCCCAGGGAGTGCCCAGAAAAAATATGCAGGCTGAATATTTAAAAAAGTGCCAGATGTCTTTTTTGTAATTCACCTCCCACATCACATTTATTGCAGCTTTTAAACTTTAATACAGAATTGATTTTCGTAAAGGGAAAGCTTCCATCAATCAAATTGAATTGTAAAATGATTTAAAATAGCAAAAAAGCCATATATTTTTGGGTAGGGCCTAAGAAAGTTTGAAAATAGAATTGAATTCTATATCAAATGTGTTTGAGGTTTGTTTTTCAAAAAGGGATCCAGAAATATTTATTGGTGGACAGATTTAACATGCCAAATTTCTAGCAAATGGGATTTTATAAAAATTAGTATCCGATACTCTAGCTTTATTTTATAACGATAACATTTAGAAAAAGCCAATCGTTTTCTTTTATCAACAGCTCCCAGGCCTAGATATATTTAAAAAGTAGATAATCTGACAAATAAGCATCCTTGTAACATAAAAAGAGTGACATACACATTTCTTGATGACTTCCAGTGTCGAGTAGCAAATTTGCAGTTCCACGTCTGTAACATTTTTACGACTTTTTTTTTTTTAGCGGAACCTACTCGTCTGAACAAACATATGAACTGAATGGAATAAATGTGCACTTACCTGAACTAAAATCCTTGGTCTTTGTGGAGATGGAAAAGGAACCTTGTGCATAAAATGGGAAATATGCCTAAGGAGGGAATAAGGACTTTGTTTTAAGAAAAATAAATAAATCAGCAAGCTAAGAGAATATTCTTGGTTTATTGCTTGCAAAGATTAAAACCATATGAAACTAAGCAGGGATCTATCTATCTATCTATCTATCTATCTATCTATCTATCTATCTATCTATCTATCTATCTA